AGCTTTTTTTTAGTTGTAAACAATAGTCGCGGAGGCTGCCCAAGTGTGTTGTGGTGATAGTTTTGCACAATTGAAGTGTACTACGAATGCATTTGAGCAGTTTATTAAAGCAGTTATTGTTACAAGAGCAGATTATTTGTGCACTCTTGTTTTGAAATTACGGTTATGAGGGACTGTGGCAAAAATATGTTTCCTAGTGGCGAGTTACGAAATGCATTCACTCCTATGGGCGTTTACTAGTGCTTCTAAAATATTTTCTTGTGATGAGAATTTTGTTCCCTTGGGATTTCGTTATCACAAGTTTTAACTATGTAGAGTTTTTCTATAATGCCACCTATGCCCTCTGCTTGATTATTTTCAGCGAGGTGTTTTTCATCATAATATTCAGTCTAACCAAAGTCTTCATGCTGTTGTGCATGTCTCCATTGTTGGAAGTGCAGCATGGTTTCAATAGTCTTTCTTATTTGTTATGAAGGTGACAAAAACACGTAGCAAACTGAAATTTTGTTTTTGACAAATGAGTCCGTGTACCGTAACTTAGCCACCACTGCCAAACGACTACAACTATCAGCACTGCACGCTGTAAACGGAGTCGTTACGTGAATGAAGATTCGGCTAAAGAGGAAGCTTATTACGGCCGGACACCTTGTTTGCATGAGGGCGTGGCGGTTGTTTGCTTAGAGACATTTTAGAGTGCCCAGTCTCCATTTCGGTTTCAAAGAACACCGAGCTAGGCAGGAGCAGTTCCGGGGCGCGTGTTTTACAACTGTATGCTGGAGAACGCGCAAGAGAGAGAGGAGACGCCCATGTCGTCTGCTACGGCGCTCATTGGCAGTGGCAACCACGAACGTCATTTCCGCGTTCAGTTTAAATTTTTCCTGTTTTTTGCGGTCGCCCCGCCAGCAGCCAAGGCCGCCACGGACTCGCCGGTAGCGCCGGTACTGAGAGCAGCTGTGTGTGTGGTGTGTTTTGTGAATCGGATTGCTTTTGGGTTGTTTCCGAACTACTGAAACTTTAAGTAAACAGCATCGGGCAAACTGCTTCGGGCGTGTACTGAGAGCAGCTGTGTGGTGTGTTTTGTGAATCGGATTGCTTTTGGCTTGTTTCCGAACTACTGATACCGTAAGTAAACAGTCTCGGGCGAATTGCGTAGACAGACTGCCCACAAGACGTATTTGTTTGCAGCAGCCTCGCTAGCATCAGGGCTCGCTTTTTCTCATAGATCCCGCAGCATCTTCGTCACGGCCCTCAAACGCATGTCAAGTTTTAATCCGGTCGGCTTATTACGCTGTTGCAGGTACGGCCGTACGTCACCGTTCATGTATTGACCGATTTCGAGGCTACCGACGGTATTGCCTACACGATCGATACATATCGTTAGTAGCGAGTTTAAACTATCATGTGCTCATAATACGCCCAAGTCAGTTTTTTAAGTGCAGCGAGAGTGGCGCAAAAACGTAAAACAGTTGTTCAATCACTGAGTATGTCCTGTTCTAAAATAAACTGCCTAGCTACTTGGCATTGCAGTGTCGGTTCGTGATGCCTGCCGCAGATTAGCGGACTTTGTGCAGCAGTCATTCTCCAAAATACTGCACGTGTATAACTTGCAGGAGACCATGGGTAATATTTGAAGCGAAATCGGAGAGATATGGGGGTATTGCAGCGCAAAACAAAAATCAGATTTGACATGTGTGTGGCTCCCAACTGTATCACTGTGATGGTACTGAGCAGCTTAATACAATGGCGAACAAAAAAAAAGATACATTGCAGGCAGATGGTGCAAAATCAAACAGAATGAGGGTTAAGGGTGGCTTTAGTTTTCAATAAATTTCTGCAACAGTATGTTCGTTTATGCCAGATGTTCTATTTGTATTACTTCCAAGGCACGAGGGCGCTGCAGGAGGGAGTAGAAAATTCAATGCACACAAATAAAGTAAGCATTAGTAGTTTCTAACTTTACAGTGTTACCTATATGGTTGCGTGCTTCAGAGAGGATCAGGCGTTTTATTATAAGTAAGCAAGAACTAATGGACAGAGAAAGTAAAAATTCTGTGAATAATGTCATCAGGTTCCTCCTGTCTCAGCAATTTTTTTATTTTTCATGGCACCCAACTAATTTATTATTTCTACGCTTCCACATTAAGCCTTCGCTGTGAGTCACTCTTGCTGCCTTTATGTGGATGGCTTCATACAGGTAACATGCATATTCACAATATGCTCCCAGCAGTTCTTCTGAACTCTGGGACCTGCTAATGTGATAGTTTTACAGTATAGCTCTTCCACAACTGTTCTAATAAACTTGACATATATTGACATGAACACGCTGCGCTCAAGTGTAAACAGTGTTTTCAGAAGCAGAATGTTCACCTACATTAGCGAACTGAACTGGGCCGGTTGGTATGTACATTATAAAATGTTGTATTTAGACAAGTCGCACCGATCTGTTTAAAACTCGCAAGTAAAAGCAAGCACTGAAAACTGCTCAAAACATGAACGGCAGCGTACGGCCGTTAGAATGGGGATTCAAACTACAACTATGGGTGGCTAAAACTTAGGCATGAGCTAAACACGCATGGCGAAAAACGAGCTCCCCACGCTATGGAACCCAAAGGCCACGGCCGCGTACGTCTCGCTCTAACGCGTAAATCTTGTCCGTCTACTACTCGTCGTAATGCCGCGAGTGCGCAGATGCCGCCTGTCCACGCAGTCAGCCCCGACACTGTTTACTTATGGCTTCAGTAGTGCGGAAACAACCCCAAAAGCAGTCGAATCACTGGCATATTGACACAACGCAGCACCGCGATCACCCGCTTTTCACCCCGCGAGTAATGCGACGGCGGCGAGAATATACGAGGGCGTCAAGCGTTGCGCGGAAATGACATTTGCAGCGGTGGTCGCCAATGAGCGCCGTAGCAGACGACATAGGCGTCTCTCTTCTCTCTCGTGCGTTCTCCAGCATACGGTTGTCAAACACGCTTCCGGGGCAAGGTTAACACAGGTCCACCGTAAACTTGTGACGTGAGCGCTGCGAGCGTGCAGCGCCCACCTCACAGCACAGCTGGAGCACAAGCGAAGCCGCAGGTGCCGAGGAGGACGTCAAAGGTATTGCAAGTGCAAGGCGCATCCCAGCAACGAGCCAGCACAAGCTCGTGACGTAGGTTTGTTTACACTGCCCTGTGTTGATGTCGGTGCAGCGAGAAGCTCGGCATCTCTGTCGTGTGGCGTAAACTTCAAAAGTGATTTTAAGTAGTATGTTCTAAGCTATGTTTGTCCTTGATATCTTATAGATGTGTATGTCTTCACAAAAATATATCTCACCTACGAAATTTTCTGTCAGTGGTTCTTCAACGTCCACCTAAATCTAAAATTAAGTTTTTGAAACCTGAAGATGACAACAGTTCCTATCAAGAAACCGTTTCATTGACAGCTGAGATCTGTAAATGTATCTGTTGCAAAGAGATTACTGGCAAGTGAAAGCTCACGTCCTAGAGCATTTTCTGTTGTGTAAAAATAGTCCAGTAACCCCAGCTGCAATGACACGCATGCAATCGGAAGTTCTGGAAACAATAGTGCACGACGAAGTTGTCTCGAATTTTCTGTACAGTGCGTCATAGTCATACAGTTTATTTTTTTCTTTAGAGGCCTGTTAAGCCAAATTAAAGATAAATTTCGCAGTAAAAAAAAGGTGTGTTTTTCGTCTGCTGGCACACTGAGTGGCCAGCTAAGCTTGAGGTCGTTTAATTTCTGTATGTGCTTTGTTTACGGAAAAAAAAAAACATTCTCAAGAGTGCCAAGCTTGATTTGTGTATGTGCTTCAACAAAACAGAATGCAGATATATTACCTAAAAGGAGCGGGTCTTTCGGCTGCGACGTACCAAAGCAGAAAAAATACAAGTGTCGCATGCGGGGGCCATTTCGCTGGGTGGTCTTTCTGTTACCGTGGCGCCCATAGTGGTCGCTGCTGGATCTATCTTAAACCGAAGCGGCAGTTTCGTGAGCGGAAGAGCCATTGAGGTACTGCATTTTCTGCTACAACCCGGTGTCACGTTCGTGTCCTTTATCTGCCATTTCTCTGGTGAATTTCATTGACAAATTGGAGCGGCTGACGTACTGTGTGCCGGAACACTCCTGTCCGGTGGAGGGGGACCGAAGGGAATCTAGCAACGGAACACAGGTGCTTTTGCTGGAGCAAATGGTAGGGGGCGGTAGCGCACATAAAGCACAAGTTGACACTGGGATGCACCAGTCATTTTTCTTCCGAGACGCGACTCATTTTCACAGGGACCTCTTGGAAAGCGTGTTGGTTGGTCACGTGGTACGCTCTGGTTGGTCATGTGGTATGCCACGTACTGTGCATGCGCGGGGCGCTTGTGACCTTGGGTCGAATTCGCTGCTTCTAGTAAAAGTTGTAGTAAAAGTTGTAGTAAAAGTTGCTTCATAGAGTGTATCTCGTGACAGAGCTGCTCCTGATCTGCCAATGAAACATGCAGGAAGTACCCTCAGTCTGTCAATAGAACAGACTTGCTTCGCATGAAGCAGAGAAAGTGCTACGGCAAGTGTTCCAAATCTGCGAATGGATCACACTTTTGATTTGGCTTATTTGAGCCCATGTATGGTCATCATGGAATGGCTGCTGCATGTGTTGATCCCACTAGCGCTGTTAGTATGCCAAGTTGTGTTTGGTGTTGGGAGCTATTGAATTTGGGATATTTGTGGAAAGTCTGTTGTAAAGGAGTGCTGGCCTTTGTCAGTTACATACAAATGAATTTCGTACCTGAATTCTTTGCATACCGCGTTTACCTAATCAACGGAAAAGATGGGAAGACCAACATGGCATCACAAATTGCTATGTTGCATCAAACTGTTCATTGTAAGCACATCTGTTGTGATGAGGTTATACTGTATTACAGTGAACAGAATCAAACTAGCCCTCCTGGAAGTTCTTCTGTCTTTTGTTTTTTAATTGACATGCTAACTTTTTTTCTTTCTTTGTTTTTCAGAAGCAGACAGCTGTGGCTCAGCCACGCCTGTCGGTAGTGCTTCCACAACCAGTCAAGACGCTGGTGTTCTTTGACCTTGAAACAACAGGCCTCCCCTCGAAGTACAAGCGAGTCAGCATTACCGAGATTGCCTTGGTGGCCATAGACAGGTGAGGGTCACTCGCTATTCTCAAGTACATTTGAATAGATTCTGAGCTTTTATGTGCCAAAGCTATCATTTATTAGGAGGTATATTGTACATACCGGGAACTTACCAAAGTGAAAGTGCACTGGTGTTTTTGCACTCCGCCCCCATCTAAATGCGACGTTGTGGCTGGGAATCAAATTCATGGCCTCGTGTTTAGCGTTCCAACATGATGGCTGCTAATTTTCAATTTTGATGGTGAGGTGGGAGCAAGTTTTTCTGGTTCAGAGCAATAATATTCCAATGATAAAGTGAGGGTGAGAGTTTCATGTTCCAGTGGAAGAGTAGGAGTGGATTCAGAGCAGCACTCACTCATGGCGAATTCCCCTCAAGTGGGAGCAAGCTTTCTTACACCACAGACAAGAATCTGCATTCCACTGGTATATTCGGAGCAAGCTTGCGTTTTCAAGTGGCAGATCCATAGCAACACACTCGTCGACTGAGCATTCTGTGTGCTTCTTCTTGCAGTGACGGATTTGCCGGAACTCCGAAAGTGCCTTGCCATCATTTCCAGTACAGCCGTGCAGCTAGCTTGTTTTCAGCGTTTTTTTTTTTTAGGCAGTGTCTAGTCACCCTGTGCATTTGTTTACAAATTCCTTAAATAGCCCCGTTTAACTCTGTTGTGCCATACGTGCTGCTGCTGGTTTGCTTCTCGCTTTGAGCGACAGCGAGAGCACTAATTCTGCTAGCAGTAGCAGCAGCGAGGATGCCGAGCCGTACGTGCTATATGAAATTATGTATAAGGAAATATTTCCTGGCCACCAAAGATAATCGGCTACGGCGAGGAAGTGTTCGGTACTGGTTCAGTAACATATGCGGAAACAACTTTCGTAGTAACCTCGCAGATCTGGCTTGGCGCAATCCGAGTGCTCACTCCAGGATTTCAGCGGGCGCTCTGGATCTACCAGTGGAATTTGCCATTAATGGAGCAGAAGTCGCTCTGCAGAAATCAACACAGTGTACCAGAATTTTGTATGGCCCAATATACTCGTTTACCATACCTCGTTCGCAAGCTAAGTGTTGTATTCGTTGTTCTGAAAATACATCATTTAGAAACAGAAATATTTTCTTTCTGACAAAGTGTAAAAAGGGTTTTTGCTGATTTTGTATGGCCCAATATACTCGTCTACGCTGAGATTGCTAGACGTGCTCGCCCACAACACGATGGAGGAGCTCATCGAAGCCCACCTCTTTAATCAGAGAATTCGGCTCAGTCACACGGAGCACGGACGAGCTGTCCTACGCAAGATAGGATGGCAGATCCAGCCAGTACCCATCAAGGCGGCCCTTCCGGAGGACTGGAAGACAGTTCAAACGAAGCCCCTTCCCCGGAACCTGACACCGGGCAAGGACGACGAGAGGCGCACTGTGTGGGCCAAAGCCATGGCCCAGAAGCTGGAAGAGAACCCCGGGGTCATGTACGCGGACGCTTCACTCCGAAAACACAGTGACCGTGCTGCGGTAGTGGTTGCATCCATTGACAGGCTAATCGTCAGCGGGTATTTGAGGACAAGACCATGCAATTGCCGAGGAAGTGGCCGTAGACCTCGCACCCGTACAGCCGAGCGTAGACACGGTGGTCACAGACTCAAAGACTGCCCATGGAAGCTTCCGCAGGGGGGTAATCTCATTCATGGCACGAGCCATTCTATCCAAGTGCAAGCCTCTGGGAAGAGCCGTAGAGCTCATGTGGGTCCCGGCTCACTCGCAGGTACCGTATAAACCGCACTATAGGTCGAGTGGGAATATAGGTCGACCCCCCAAGTTCAGGTTACCGAAAAGAAAAAAAAAGGAAAACAACCCAAAACTGCCGAACCACATTTATTCGCGAATTGGGCGCACCGCATCCCGATCGTCGGAGCTCCCCTCTACCACCATCGCAACTGCTCCTATTCGTCCGACGAAGCACCACTGCCTTCTGAAGACAAGAGTTTGTCGCTGGCCGCCTCCCACACTGCGTCGTCTTCAGTGCCATCCAGCGAGTTGCTGATGCAACGTTTCTTGAAAGAATTTTCCACCATGGAATCCGGCAAGGAACGCCAGGCGGAAAGCACCCAGCCACAAACAGTCGCAAGCGGAGGCCTCTGTAGGCGGCCCGTCGGTGTCTTGGGGTTGTCGCCGGACATCCACTCTTGGTATTCCAGCCGCACTCGGTCCTTGAACGGCTTGTTTAGTACAACGTCGAGCGGCTGGAGGGTGGACGTCATACCACCTGGTATCACGGCGAAGTCCGTTTTCCCGCCGCCGAGTGCGCGTTTCACTGCGTCGGTCAAGTGAAGTGGCCACAAAACGCATCCAACACCAGCATACTGCGAAGACGCAGCAGTGCACCTTGCCGACGGTTCCACACCACTCGTATCCATTCGAGCATCATGGCCTCGTCCATGTATCCCTTTTTGTTGACGCGAGCGACAACACCGGGCGGGAACACTTCCTTCGGCATTGTCTTGCGTTTGAAAATGACGAAGGGCGGAAGCTTTCTACCATCTGCCGTGCATGCCAGCATGACGGTGAAGCGCGAGTGCTCGTTGCCAGTGGACAGCAGCTTCACATCCTTGGCGCTGCGCTGCGTGATCGTGGTCGACGAAGGCATGTCAAACCACTTGGGGGTTTCATCGGCGTTGCCAATCTGCTCCATCATGTAGCCGTTCTGCTCCCGAAGCCGGTTCACGAAGCGCTGAAAGTTTATGAGCTTGTCCTCGAACTCCTCCGGCAACTTTTTGACAGATGAATGTGCGCCGCCGGAGAGAAAATCCTTTGCGTCGCATAAATCGACGCACCCAAGAGTTCGGTGCACGAAACTCTTCTCTCGTGAGCCCAGCTTCCCGAGCGAGTTCCATGGCTTTCTTGCGAATGGTACCCACGGTCACTGGCAGCAAGCGCGCACAAACTTCCCGCACAAAGTTTCCGCACTTCGTCCACGAAACGACATTTTTCGAGGAATGCACATCTGCAGCTTCCCTTTCTGCGCCCTCCAATCATCATCATCATCATCAGCCTGACTACGTTCACTGCAGGACAAAGGCCTCTCCTATGTTCCGCCAGTTAACACGGTCCTGTGCTTGCTGCTGCCAATTTATACCCGCAAAGTTCTTAATCTCATCTGCCCACCTAACCTTCTGTCTCCCCCTAACCCGCTTCCCTTCTCTGGGAATCCAGTTAGTTCCCCTAATGACAAGTGGTTATCCTGTCTACGCGCTACATGCCCGGCTCATGTCCATTTCCTCTTCTTTATTTCAACTATGATATCCTTAACCCCCGTTTGTCCCCTAATCCACTCTGCTCTCTTCTTGTCTCTTAAGGTTACACCTACCATTTTTCTTTCCATTGCTCGCTGCGTCGTCCTCAATTTAAGCTGAACCCTCTTTGTAAGTCTCCAGGTTTCTGCTCGGTAGCTAAGTACCGGCAAGATACAGCTGTTATATACCTTCCTCTTGAGGGATAGTGGCAATCTACCTGTCATAATTTGAGAGTGCTTGCCGAATGTGCTCCACCCCATTCTTATTCTTCTAGTTACTTCAATCTCGTGGTTCGTCTCTGCGGTTATTACCTCCCCTAAGTAGACAGTCTTTTACAACTTCAAGTGCACTATTACCTATCTCGAAGCGCTGCTCCTTTCCGAGGTTGTTGTACATTACTTTCGTTTTCTGCAGATTAATTTTAAGACCCACCTTTCTGCTCTCCTTGTCTAACTCCATAATCATGAGTTGCAATTCGTCCCTTGAGTTACTCAGCAATGCAATGTCATCGGCGAAGCGCAGGTTACCAAGGTATTCTCCATTAACTCTTATCCCTAACTGTTCCCATTCTAGGCTTCTGAAAACCTCCTGTAAGCACGCGGTAAATAGCATTGGGGAGATTGTGTCCCCCTGCCTTACACCCTTCTTGATTGGTATTCTGTTGCTTTCTTTATGAAGCACTATGGTAGCAGTTGATCCCCTGTAGATTTCTTTCAGAATGTTTATATATACTTCATCTACGCCCTGATTCCGCAGTGTCTGCATGACGGCTGATATTTCTACTGAATCAAACGCCTTCTCGTAATCTATGAAGGCTATGTATAGAGGTTGGTTATACTCTGAGCATTTCTCTATTACCGGATTGATAGTATGAATGTGGTCAATTGTTGAGTAGCCTGTTCGAAATCCTGCTTGTTCCTTTGGTTGATTGAATTCTAATGTTTTTTTTTACTCTGTTAGCAATTACCTTTGTAAATAGCTTGTATACTACAGAGAGCAAGCTGATTGGCCTGTAATTCTTCAAGTCCTTGTCGTCTCCTTTCTTATGTATTATGTATTAAGACGATGTTAGCGTTCTTCCAAGACTCTGGTACTCTTCCTGTCATGAGACACCTCGTAAACAGGGTGGCTAGTTTTTCTAACACAATCTGTCCTCCATCTTTCAGCAGATCTGATGTTACCTGATCCTCACCAGCAGCTTTGCCTCTTTGCATGCTCTCCAAAGCTTTTCTGACTTCTGCTATAATTACTGGTGGGGTGTCATCTGGGTTACTGCTAGTTATAGTATTAAGGTCGTGGTTGTCTCGGCTACTGTACAGATCCCTGTAAAACTTCGCTATTTTAACTATCATATCCATATTGGTAGTTATTTTGCCTTCTTTGTCCCTTAGTGCATACATCCGACTTTTGCCTAACCCAAGTTTCCTCTTCACTGCTTTGACGCTTCCTCCTCCGTTTTTCAGAGCGTGTTCAATTCTCTCCATGTTATGCCTTCTTACATCGCATACTTTACGTCTATTAATCAACTTCGAAAGCTCTGCCAGTTCTATTTTGTCTGTTGTACTTGACACTTTCATGATTTGACGCTTCTTAATTAGGTTCTTCGTTTCCTGGGAAAGCTTGCCAGTGTCCTGTCTAACTACCCTGCCTCCAACTTCCACTGCACACTCTGTAATGATACTCGTCAGATTATCATTCATTGTATCTACGCTAAGGTTGGTTTCCT